CCCGAGTGCTGGGATTAAAGGTGATTACCACCCATGCCAGGCTCTCCACAGGGCTCTTGACCACAAATCCCACATAAAAAATACTTGGTCAGAACAAAGTTCCATTGACAGCTTTCCCAGAGCAGTGACTGTGTCGCATTATAGCCCAGTGTCTTGTTGTTGCTTGCTGAGGTGTGAAATGACCTGGCGGTCACGGCGGGCCTCTTGGACTCAGACTGCTCTGGGTTGAGCTGAGTGGCTCCCTGGTGGTGGTGTTTTACACAGGATGCGTGTAGGTTTGTCACCCTGCCTTGCCACAAGTTCCTACTCTGAAATTGAAACCCTGCTTTGGTTGCTTTGCATCTGATTGTTCAGGAAACTCGGGACACGAGCTCATTTAGTAGTGGATGTGCTCTCTGGCTGTGTAGACCGAAGATGAAGATGCTGCACAGTCACGCAGCAGATACTGGGCCTTTTCTCCTAGCTTCTTACGTGTGAATCTCAAACAGCTCTTAAGTTAAATTTGCAGTGATCTACGGAAGAATTAGCCACATGGGGCAACAGTTTCTTGCAGAATCGATGTTTAGCTCTGTCCATTCCCGTTCTTCCCCCCAGGCTGATGGGCAGCCTCTACCAAATCAGCTACCTTCTGACTTTTCGGTACCCCGATCTGTTTATTGACACAGCAGAGCACATGGGTTTAGGAAGTGTCTGGGTGTTTAAAGACAGTTCTTTCTCCCTTGCTTTACTGAAGAGTCCATGTCTGAGACTGAATAAGGGGATGAAGGTTCATTTGGAATACCTCACCCACGGACCTTTGTCTGTCGCCTACTCTGTCTCTTTGAAGTATGGAGTTGAATGGAAGGAAGGGATCAAACCCTTCCAAACACTGCCTTCCAACCACACTTTAGAAGATAGATAGAAAATAAATGCTTCTTCTTCTTTTTTTTTTTAAAGATTTATTTATTAATTATGTATACAGCATCTGCCTGCATGTATCCCTGCAGACCAGAAGAGAGCACCGGATCTTATTACAGATGGTTGTGAGCCACCATGTGGTTGCTGGGAATTGAACTCAGGACCTCTGGAAGAACAGTCAGTGCTCTTAACCTCTGAGCCATCTCTCAGCCCAAATAAATGCTTCTTGGGAGTACGGCTGAGCCTAACTGTGCCGGGCTAGGAGCCAGATTCTTTGGTTCTAGCATGGTGGGCATGTCATGTAGAATTTGTCCTGCGCAGTAGTTTGACTCTCCCCCCCCCAAAAAAAAATCGAGGTTGCCCACATATCAGCTGCATTTCAAGAATCATTCTACTTTTCCCATGAAAGATTAATAATTGATAAAATTTTATAACTAGGCTTCAGATCATGACACTGGTCTTCATAACTAACTGGTCGGGGATCTCCAATGGGATGCTGGAGGGATCAAGTCTAGTGAGTAGAGTATTGGAAGTGAGGGGAAAGGGCCTAAGTTTAGATTGAGTGTTGTGGATTGGTTCTAAGACCCTGAGTGTGGTCTAAGAACCTAGGGATCAGGAGACAGCCAGAGGCAGAGCAGAGATATCTCAATATCCTCAGCACATGCTCAGGAAAGTTCAGGAAGGGATTGAGCCAGACCACACAAGAACTTCTGAGCAATGCAGGTAAAGGATTGAGGTCATTTTCTATGTGTGCTGAGAAAGTTTTCCTGCTTACCGTGTTACGATCTCATTTGTATTGAAAAGCGAATTGCGCAGATATATAAAATCATGTAGTTGAATAAAACTGTCGTTAGTTATGCCCGCTGCTTGACATGGTGGCTCTACTCACAATTTTTATTTCTTGCCCGCCTATCTACCCTACAAAATGTGCAGGTGCATAATAAAAATACGTGTCCTTGTACCCGATCTGAGTCCAGGAACCCACTGTGGAGATAGACAACCGCTCTAGATTGCAGTGAACGGCAGGGCTAATTTTGCTCCCTGTCGTGTATGTGTTATTTGTCATCGCTGTGGAGAGCCAGAGCTGTTGAATATTTTCACTGCTCAGCTCCCTCCAAGATGTTTAGAGTAGCCAGAGCTGGTGGCGGGTATGGGAAGCAAAGCTGTATTTGAAAATGTGCAGTGTTTATGCCTTTTCCTTTAGGGTGTTTTTGCTGAAGGTATGTGGTTGGCCAGAGGGCCTTCCCAGTTATAAAGAATAAAGTATTCTTTATTTTAGTTGCTGTGACTGCTCTTGATGCATTTGGTTTCTTTGGCAGTTTCTCATTGATTGCAAGTTTCCCTGGTTCCATCTGTTTAAAACCTGGTAGGTTGCTGCCCTCTTGTGGGAAGCCTGTGGCAATGTGCTTCTTGCTGCCTTCCTTTCTCTGCTCTGTGATGAACTTAAGTTTATTGTAAAAGAGAAGCGAGTTCCAAGAGGATCTCTGCTTGGAAAGTCACTGGAGTTTGACTATTAACCAACACATTAACTGCAACCATTCCTTTTTGGGACCACTGATGGAATTTACATGTCTAATGTGCTTCTGTAGAGTCTGGAGCGTCCCTCCTCTTCCTGGTGCAACCCAGCCAGTCAGTAGTCCTGTGGTGAAGCTTATGTCGGTCTTCTGTGTGTGCTCACAGCAAATCCTGTTGTTTAGACAGCTGGGAGATGCAGTTGATATGCCTAGCTTTCCTCGTCTGTACTGTGCAGTCACCGGTTTGTCGTGTGATTCATCATTGTGTACAAACTGTGCTGTAGTCATTTTAGTCATTTTCTTCCTTCCTTCATTCTCTTATGGCTATCCTGACTCCCTGTCTCTAGAACACTGGGGTTGCAGTCCCAGCGTAGAACCTCACCACACTTCTAAAGGAAGCTGTGCCCTTTGACTTTGGCCCCTCTTCATTTCCATTCTATTCCACAGCAAGTCCTACATCACCTTGTCTGCTTCTGTCCCTGCCGACTGGCTTGTTTGTGATGTTTCAGAGATGTGTTATCTGTGGTCTTCAGGAACTGGCTTTTTCGCTTGATATAATGTTTTTAAGGTTCATCCAGCTTGTAGCACGTATCAGTTAATTCTCGTCACGGATGAATGATTTCCCATTACAGATATGCCTCATTTGCTTTGCCCTTTAGCAGTTGGTAGATGCATGAGTTATTTCCACTCTCTGACTATCAAGAGAAGTGTTTCTGAAGCATTTCTCTGCAGATTTTATATGGATGTGTTTTCACTCTCTGTACTTGTACTGAATGGACTTTTCTTTCTGATAGCTGTCTGGCTTTTTAAGGAATTGTCATATTGATTTTCCAAAGTGACATCATCGGTTGACTTTTGTACTAACGCTGTATGAAGTCCTGGGTCCTCTGTATGCCTGTGCATCTAATAGGAGTCAAGTTGTAGCTCATTGAGTCCATGATTTGTGCCTCCGTAGTTGTTAATAATGTCTTACATTCTTTAAATTCACCATAGAGAAATGTCCACCCAACCTTCTGCCGTTTTTAAAATTGATTGATAATTGTTTGTATTTCCTCTGTGGCTTGTTTGTATAAAGACTTTCTTACTCTTTTACTTTCTATTACCTATATCCTTATGTTTACAATGAATTTATTACCACCATTATGCAGCTGATTCTATTATAGCCAATGGTTCCCCTTCTGTCTTTGTGCTACGGTATGTTGGCGCACTTGTTACAATTATATTCCCTGCAACCACAGTTCAGTTCTAGATATGAGTTTGGTGGAAATCCGTTGACACCTGTGTGAATTAGTTGGCGATGAGAGATGGATGATAAAGTATTGTGTGGTTTTTTTTTTTTTTTTGCAAAATTGTGTGTTACATGTTTTATCAGAAAAGTTTGCATTGTGCTAATGTTCGCACAGTACCCCTCTTCCAGCACACTGCTGAGGACATTGCTATTACATTTAATTCTATTAATTTAACATTACCTACAAGTTTTGGTTTAATAGTCAATACAATAAACTGATAGCAAGCCAGCGTGCCACTGTGGTCTTCTGTAGTCTGTAGACTGCAGCGAGGTCAGTTACCACTGTGCCCTCCACCCCACTGTCATCTGTCATTACGGTCTGTTGGCTGCAGCGACGTTGGTAATCCCAGGCAGCCCATTCATGGCTGTGGTGAGGTAATCAGCAAGTACAGCTTTCCTCTTGCGTGCGGAGAAAGTGTTTGTTAATAATCACTAGGAAGGGCTGGAGAGATGGCTCAGAGGTTAAGAGCACTGACTGCTCTTCCAGAGGTCCTGAGTTCAATTCCCAGCAACCACATGGTGGCTCACAGCCATCTATAATGAGATCTGGCGCTCTCTTCTGGCATGCAAGCATACATGGAAGGAATGCTGTATACATAATAAATAAATCTTTAAAAAAAATAATCACTAGGAAGATAGGAAAATGTTCACAGCGAGGTGGCACGGGCATGGCAATTGTCCATTATTCCTTCAGCTTCAGACTTTAAAATGTCCATACAGAATGCGACTCCATTTCATGCCACTGTGTCACAGTGACCCTGCGGAGGTGGGGAGAGGGTGCGTTTGGCTTCTTGCGAGTGGTGGGGATCGAGCCCGGTATTGCCCATGTCTTAAAGGATTGCTCAGGTGGCCCTGCACAGAATGAGGCAGAGCAGGAACACTGTCGTTGAGCCATAATGCTTTCTAAAGGCTTTCCTTTCATTTGTGTGTGCCTGGGTGTGTGCACATGAGTGTAGGCATTGATGGCAGCCAGAGACATCAGATCCCTGTAGCTGGGGTTAGAGGAGGTTGGGAGCCTTCTGGCGTGGGCATTGGGTCTCTGTGTGAGTAATGTCCTTAACCACTGAACTCTCTCTGGCGCCAGTGTACCTTTGTGTGTAGTTTTTGATTTTATGAAGTATTTTAGTTGACATTACAGTTGATCCAACTTATGACTGTCTTTGATGGAGTAAGTTTTTAATTTGCTGAGCTGAGTGTTTGCTATGTGTAAAATACCTTTTTTTTTTTTTGCTTTGTATTTGTGTGGCATGTCCATATACTATCTAATTCTAATGAGTTTGTCTTGACTTCTTTTCCTTTAGTCTGATGAGCGGTGTCAAAAACAACGTTGGAAGAGGAATAAATGTTGCCTTGGTAAATGGTAAGAATAATTATTGTACTTTATGGATGTAATCAATGGGTGTATGTATGCCCCACACTAAAATTTACCCTTGGCACCAGAGTAGAAAGCACCACTCAATATTGAAACCTTCCCAACAAGGATATCCTCTTGTCCAAACCATTGTAGATGGAGACTTGGAATCTCCTGGTGGGCAGCATGTTTTCTTGGGCATATTGTAGTCATGTGCATTGTGTGGCAAGCTTCTTGTGAAGCTGCAAGCCACAACCCTGACACTGAAATGGATACAACCTTGCTGCACCTTTCAAAATTCTTACTAAGGAGCTAGGTAGACAGGATTAAGGGTGTGTAAAATGACAAAGGATGGTGGACCGTCAGATAAGTAGAAGGGAGAATAAAGTCATAATTTGTTGTAAGTTTTCAGTACTGTCCACATTTTTCTTAGAGGTTATTTGTGCCCCTAAATTCACTGAATCCTGGACGTAGTATCTGTTGCAAAAGTAGATCTTAAGCATCCAGCCCAGGAAGTGCAGGCTGCCTGTGCACTGCTTGCCTCTGCTCAGACACGTGTTCCCTGTAACTGCCTGGGGTGAGTAGACTCTACGAGCAGCCGTACAGCCAGCCCCCAGCAGAGAGAAGCTCTCTTTGCTCTAATCATAAGTAGCATTTATATGATTTTGTACTTTTTCCCCCCCAAGTAAAAAATTTTAATGTCTCTTCTATTTAATGGATCTTCTAGATAAACTATGTGTAAATTTTATTTGGAAACAAAAGTTTTAACATAGATTGTTGTTTTCGCTCTGATTTAAGTAGCTAGTTTCTTTGCTGTAGAGGTTATGTGTTGGTGGTTAATGTTGTGGCTTGCTGACCACATAGGAAAGTGGAGTGTAGTACGGAACTGGTCTGAAGTCAGTGAGGCACAGCCGTGTGTGTGCTTCAGATCGTAAGTTCTGGAAGCATTCCTTCTGTTGCTGAGTTCATGTCCCTCGTTGGGGAAGACTTTTTTTTTCTACGCTGATATTTCAGTTGTGTGATTTAAATTTGATGTGTATTCTGTTTCTTTCAGGGAAGACAGGGGAGGTACTAGACACCAAATATTTTGACATGTGGGGTGGAGGTACGTACGACTCACCGTGTGTTCCTGCTGCCGCTGTTTGCGGTTGCGCTTTGTTTCCCTACGTGTCCAGCCATGTTGAAGTGGACTGTCATGTTGCATGTGGTTTGGTTATGGTAGGAAAGTTGCCTGCGATTGAGATTCCAATGAGATTAAAGGACATTAGCGTTCCGTGTTTTCCCAGGACAACTGACTAAAAACCCTGACTTGATTTCGATTTCTACCTGAAAGTCGGGTCAGTAGACCGGTACAACCAGTTCACACAGTTTTAGACTGAAGTGGCTTGCGTTCTCGAAAAGCAATAATCCCATTAATCCATCCTGTTTCTACCTTTGGACTCTACTATTATAATGGCAAACATTTAGAAAACGCACAGACTTTTCCTTGTATAATTTGCTGGTCTCGGAACAAGCCACAGAATTTTTTCCCTTCCATGTTTGGGAGTCCTAGGAATAGGAAGAGGTCGCCATCAAATACTGGTGAATTTGAAGCAAAGACTGGCTCCCCAAAGAATGTTACTCCAAAGGGGAATGTTTCTTTGAGAAACAAAAGAAAAGGAAGAATGTTTGTTTTCATTATTTTATTTGTGTGTAGATGTGTGTCTTCATGTAGGTCTGGCCACGTGGGTGTAGGTGGCTGAGGAGGCAGGTGACACTGGATTCCTGGTGCTGGAATTACAGGCACTGTGAGCCACCGGGTGTGATGCTGGGAGCCAGATTCAAGTCCTCTGGAAGAGTAAAAAGTGGGCTGCTAATGTCTGAGTAGCCTAACCTTCCAGTCCCCAGGATTTCTTCGTCTTTAAGGAAGGCGGGCCGACCCTGGCTTATCTTTTGGTTCCCTGGCTTCACTACAAACTAGCTACTCTCAGGCCTCCAGACATTTATATTCAGTTTCCAGACAAGCTAACGTGTCTAATATTTCTTCAGCTTTTAATAAGGCGCTATGTGTTATTTATTTAAGCTTTAGAGAACGTTTCATAGCTGTCAGACGTATATTAAATTACACCGTTCCCATCAATTTTAGATTCTGAGAGCATAATTGCTCTTAGTATAATTTATAACATAGAAACTCTTCCATGAAGCTGTTGAAATTGGGCATGTAAACAGAGCTCTGGGATTGCTCTCACTGCCCATCACAGGAACCACATTGCTGCCAAAGACTCTTCCTGGTTCAGAAATAATAGCAGTTTAATGCCATCTTCTCCTTTCAATGGGAATGATTTGTTGGCATTTATGTTCCCTCACTGAAAATGTGCTTACTGTAAAATACAATCAATTAGAGAAAAATCTTTGGAATCTTCGATGTTGAAAAAAAAGAAGTTGGGAAGACTTGAAGTAATATAGTTTTGGAGTAGACTTAGGCTTGTGGTCTATAAGGAAAGCTAGCATTGCAGAGAGCTCGTGATGGAAAATGCGTTAGTCCACGCCCAGTCTATCTGGCGACACCAGTTTGCACTCCCTGAGCTGGGTTTTTGGGAACTTCCTGTGGATTGGTTTCCTAAGAGGACCAATGTTGGCCGTAATTAGTTTGGCTCTTAGTCACGGTCTACATTCCTTCCCCCAGTTTGTCACAGAATGGTACACCTAAAAACTCTTTCTAAACCCACCTTCCTACTGATTAAAAATGTTTTACAGAGGTCTCTGAAAATTGGATAAGAGCAGGGCTTCCTTTTCCCAGAAAAGCACCCATATTAACGTTCAATGCCATGCCAGTCTAGTCCCCAGAGCTTCACCTGGACCTGAGAATCAGGCTTCCTGTGGACTCTAAGCTCACTTACGTATTTCTGAGAGCTTTCTGAGGCCCTCACTTCACAAGTGATGTGCTGACATGACTTTCCTGTGCATACAAGTATGAAAGACTCAAGATGATTCAGAACTGGGAACGAAATCAGGAAGTGGAGGGACCATATTAAAGAATAAATTTGGTAATTTTGTTTAGTGTTTTTTATTTATTTTTTTTTTTTGCTTGCCTGGCTGGACTTAAAAACTTTGAGTTTTTAAGCTTTCCCTAAGATTTGTCTGTCTTACCTTAAATTACTTTTCATTTAGAAACAGTTGTTTTATGGAAACTGCATGTGACATTAATTATATAGATTATTGTGATAGTAATTCCGTTATTTCTAAGAAAATCTCTAACCCTCTTTTTCTTCAGATGTGGCACCATTCATTGAGTTTCTGAAGAACATACAAGATGGAACAATAGTGTTAATGGCAACATACGACGATGGAGCGACCAAGTATGTAAAATTAGAGCCTAACAACTTTTGGTGCTATAATTTATCCTTTAAAAAGCAGTATATTTTCACTGAAAAACAAAATCTATTACGTTGATAAGGTAACTATTGATAAGTGCTATCAGTTTTTAAAAATCCTATTTCCTTTCTATCTTTACATATAAAATTTCTTCATGTGTTATGATGAAATTTGAACCACACTGTACATAGTGTTTTATAACTTCTTTTACATTGTAAGAGCATTAAGTTGTTTTCTCTAACATTTCTTTGTTTTTTTGGATTAACATTCTTGAGTAGCATTTTTATGGCTCTTAGCAGTTTGACCTGTGGGCTCATATTTATGAAGAGTTTCTTTTTAACTACAAAGTTTTTTATCTAATGAATAACGTTCTTTTACATAATTTTTTCTTTACCTTTGATTATAACATTAGGGTAAATTTCTAAAAGTGAAATTAATGGTCAAGGACATAGATGTGAGGGGTGTGTGTGTCTGTGTGCATGTGTGTGTGTATGTGTACAAGGTGGGTTTTTTTCTTTTTTTCTCTTATGTATATTTTCTTTTATGAGTTATCCTTTGACCATTCAAGTTGGTGCATATTGATTTGTAAGAGCCCTTTATATGTTAAGATATTGATGAGTTCCTTTATTAAAGATACAGTTTTTATAGGCGGTTTGCTTTTTGTTTTGTCCACTTGAGGTATCTTTGACTTCTAGCAGATAGGGTAGCATTTATATATTTGAGACTGTAGATTTTTCCTTCTAGTTTCTCTGACTCTTAAACTCGAGAAGTATTTTTCCATCTCCAAATTAGATAACCAGTAGATTTTCTCTTGCAGTGATTTTAACCTTTTCCTGTATTTTAAAAACCCATTTGTAATCTCCGGAGATCTCCAGTGTCTGTGTTGTATCAGGTTCTAAGATGACTTGGGTTTTCTGTTGTTCTCTTCTGTTAATTTCTTTCTTTCTGTTCGTGAGGACACTGTTTCAGTTGCCTTATGACTGATTTGTCAAAATGAGCATGCTTTATTCCTCTCCGATGTTACTTTTTAGAGTACTTTATGAGGGACACTGACATTGCATTTTCACTGACTCAACTTACGATAATGTTAAATCGATAAACTCGAAGCTTAGTGTGTCTGGCAGGTTTTATAGTTAAGTAGTACAGCGTCTAATTAAGTAAACTTCTATTCGTTTAGCAAAAGTGACTTGTGCAGTGGTCTGTCTAGGTTATGGGCTATTATATGTATAATGTCAGCTTTTAACATAGAGGCACCTTTTCTATCTAGACACACGTGACCTTTCTTTTCCACCGCATGCTTTTATTCCTGAGCTGATGGGAATCAGAACTCTGATGAGATGCTGATGTAGCCTTGAGAAGGTTGCACTGTGGGTGCCCTGAAGCCCACCTGAAGCAGCCAGCAAGCCTGGACAAGTTCTTAAAATCTCAACTGTGTCCTTGGACTTCCCCACCTGCTGGAGGCCAGTACCCTCGCTGTTTCCCAATTTGTAACAAAAGAAGCTGAGGGCAGAGTGAAGAGATGCTGTCTTCTCGGGGCCAGCTCTCCATTCTGTCCAACAGTCCTTATGTTGGGTAAATGGAATAGCAAAACAGTGAAAGCATTCCCTTGTCACCTGATACCAAAATATTTGAAGCTAATTGACATTTTTCTTTCAATTTTCCAGACTCAATGCACATAGCTTTTTCAAACCCTTTATCATATTAGGTTCTCGCTGGTTTCCCTTTTTGGCTGTATTTCTTGGGCATTCTTTAGTTCGTTATTGTCTCTCTTAAAATGAGTGTCTCAAATTAAACCCAGTGTTCCAGATGTGGTCTGGCCAGAACTGGCTACAGCGGAGACGCTAACTTGCCATGTCTCAGAGATTACATTTCTTTGAATATTCATGCAGACTGGAATTATATTAGTTTTCTTTAAGCAATCAAATCACATTTTTGGCTCATAAATTTTTAGTCAAGTTAGATTGTTAAATTGTCAAATCTTTTCTTTTGATCTCAGCCGTTCTTTATTTTTTAAGCCATTGCCAAGTCAGGTTTTTCCCCATTCTGAACTTGATTTTATTTAATGTAAATGAAGAACTTTATATTCATTTATTCCTGTTATATTTGATTGTACTGATTGGGCCTGCTTGGTCTTGAGTCTGACGTGTGTCCTAGGAGGATTCTGTGATCCAGGCTTTGTACTCACTCCAAAGCCATTCATGTGATTTCAGCTCTTGATAAAAATGTTTACGAAGGGCAGCATGCCACCAAGCTAGAGACCTGGTTGCTCACCGGATTCTTCCGTTAATCCATTGCAGGGATGGCTTTGCGGACAGTTGCCAGTGTCCCCCAGTAGGTGTGCCGTCCAGCTGCAACTTAGTTCCTCTACTCACGACAGCGTTTTTCTGAGGCTATCGGTTGCTAACTTGAAATTCATAGAGGAAACTAATTACAGCGCCCTGATCTGCTGCCATGGAGCTTAAGTTTCAGAGATGTCATTTAGCTTGGCTGGATTTGCTCCTGTGCCCTTCCAGCTACACACCCCCCCCTCCCCCATGCCTCCCTTCATTGTTGTACTCACAAGGGCTTTTTGTTGTCTTCTGAGCTAGCGTTTTGCTCGGAATTGGAATTTGTTTTATTGGAGTCAGGGTTATAGGTGTACGCTCTCACTTCTGGCTTCTAAGTGCAATTCTAGAATCAAACTCTTGTTTGCCCTGCAAGTACTTCAGCACCAAGCCATCATTTCCTTGGCCCTGTTTGCCTTAAAAAACAAAACAAAAACTGGATAATCCATCAGCGTGACTGTTTCTCAGCATTCCTTCTTTGCCTGTGTGGTTTGTCTAGGGCTGAGGCCTCCTGAGTGCCCCTTCCCTGCCATGTTAACATGTCTGTTGTTATTCTCCTTGCTCAGGTCATGTTTAGGCATGTTTGAGACTTTGCCTGAGGCTACTGATACTTCTAGGAGATCAAGAAATCTCACAGCATACTTCCTGTTCCTCTGGCTCTTAGCATCTTTCTTCTCTTCTGCCGTGATACCGGAGCCATGAAGTACCAGCATATGTGCAGAGCATGTTGGATGTATTTATTTAGGAACACACATCAGCACCACCAAGAGTCTGTACGTGCGGCTCCTGTCTTTAATTCCAGCAGTCTGGAGGAGGCACAGGCAGGCCAGCTTGGTGTACATAGTGAATTTCAGGACAGCCAAGACAAAGGAAGGCCATGAATTAAATTGGAAAGACAGCAATGATAGGATATGAGGGAGGATTAGGAGGAAGGGTGTCATCTCAGAAATAATTAAACAAAGGTTATTTTAAAGATAAAATACACGATTTACAAAAAGAAAACCCTGGAGTATTAAACTTTTAATGTCTTAACATCTCCATTTTTCATTATAGAACAGTTGACGTGTCCTTAGATTGCATCAGGCGTTTCCTTTAGAAACTTTGTGTGTGATGTATGTGGACCCAGAGGCTTAGATTGTATTTAAAATGCATTCCTGGACTTGGTTATGGTTCTTTGTTCCACCACCCAAGCAGTGCTCACCTCCCTGGGCAGATGGCCTTGATCAGACAGTATCCTGTTCCTCTTTTTGTAACACCAGGTTTCTTCATTACACTTCGTTGCTACTCTTTTTGTCTTCATAGCAGATTTTTTTTTTAAAAAAGTGGTTTTGAGTCTTGTTTCATTCTGACACGGCAGGTCTTCATATAGTATTACTCAAAGCATCCTCTTTAGTAATGTGCTTTGCCTTAGATTTTAAAAGCTTCCTGTTTTCAGTTAGGTATAGTCCTGTGGTAGCACCAATTTAGAAATTACTTCCCTACCCAGATTGTTATACTGTTAAAATTATTTTTCTTTGCTTGCTTGTTTTATATTTATTTATTTATTTATTGGGGGTGGGGGCAGGGGAGTAGATGGCATACGGGTGAAGGTCAGAGGATAGTTTTCAGGAACTGGCTCTTCCCTGCCTTGTGGGCCCAGGGAATCAAACGTAGGCCGCCAAGCTTGTTGGCAGGTGTGTTGACTCACTGGGATATCTCCTAGAACTATGTTTGATTTCAATAAACTACATGCTCATAAGAATTTTTGAGGAACGGTGTTTCATCTCTGATCTCTCTAGCCACCTGTGATTATATTTCTTAGTCTTCAGACTCTAGAGGAGTATCACTGTTTTCTTCCAGAATTCCTGGTACTTATGGCTTGTTCTTTCCTGCTGGTCAGAATTGATCCTAGACCACTGGTTCTCCCGTTTCTGCTCTATGCTTGGGAGAAGAGGCGTGGCTTGGCCAGATGGCGTAGGCCTATTAGGTCTACCTTCTTGAAGAGACTGGATGGTGTAGACCTGCTGAGTATACCTCCTTTCCCAGTAAGAGTGGAACCTGAACAGAGACTTCCATCTCTAGTTGTTCCTCCCTGTGTGGTGGGGTGTCCACCAGAGAGGACATGGGTTTGAACCAATAGTCTTTGTCAGCCAGCAGCTACACTGGGTGTTCAGGACCCCAGTAATCTCAGCCTTTTTTAGGGTGAGCTTTTCAACATAAAGATCATGTCCTGGGTGACACCCTTCAGGTCACAAGAACAGTTTGTGGAAGCAGAACTTCATTAGCCATTTAGAAGCTTTCCCAGTACTGTGCGCTTTGACAGATTAGGTCTTTGCTTTGTTTTAGCAGGTAGCACCATACGCGTTGTTTTATGGCCTGGATGGCACTTCCATCACGGAGTCAGTTATACTAAGGTTTCGGGTCCTACTAAGATCTGGGACCCCATTACAGCTATTTCTGTTCTGGGTAATCTCCAGCATTAGGATGACCTTGAAAACCTGACCCCTTTGTTTCTTTCCTGTTTATTATTGGAAAGTTTTTTTTTATTTATCTTAAAGAAAATTCTTCACTAAAATAATTGATTCTACATAATCCTTTAAAAATGCATTACACGTTATTTATTGTGGATGTGTTAATGAGCACACATACTCTTCCATGGTGTGCATATGGAGACCGGAGGAGAACTCGCCAGAGTTCGTTCTTTATTCCGTCATGTCTGTCCTGGAGACCAAACTCAGATTTTCGTGCATCCTGTCAAGAGCTTTTATCTTCTTGAGCCCTCTTGCTGGTTCCCAACATTAAAAAAAAAGTGTGTGTGTGTGTGTTTACAAAAGATTGTGTAAGGGTATATGCCCTTGAGGACATCAGGTGTCCTCTTCTTGCTTTCTGCTCATTCCCTTGAGACAGTCTCTGGCTGCATCTGCCACGTACCATTTCTCACCTGGCCGTCGGTTAGCAAGCCAGCTTCCCATACCATCCTGCAGCCTCCGTGTTCTCCCTAGAACCAGGGGTACAGGCGTATGTGGCCTCCCTGGCTTTAATGGACATGCTAATGCTCAAACCATCCTCGTGCGCTCTTAGCCACCAAGCCATCTGCTTAAGCTTCCTAAACTGATTGGTTCAGAAGAGGTCAGCTAGTGACGACCATCAGTAAGAACTAAAGCACACAGCATTAGCATAACCCCTGTATTGGGGGGGAGGGGGCGTTGTTACTATTGTTTGCAAATTTAGCATTCATCATTTCAGTTTATCAAGATTGCAAACTACTTTTTCTAAAGAACCAATGTGAATAGAGCCCTGTGGCTCTCAGGAGGCAGTGAGGTTGGCACCCTGAAGCCTATTGCCTTGTATTCACATGGCAGTATGTTTTACTCTCCTTCCAGGAGCGCAGCTCCTTTGCTTGTGTAGAGAGAAGCAGAGAGTTCTCTGAAAAGTAGCCAGACAGTGGAGCACATAGTGAGACTGCATGTGTAGAAGAACCATGACTTCTGGGGAGACAGGGCTCAGCCAGTCCTTTCAGGGGTTGCTCCAGTGCCGAAGGTGCTCCACAGCCGAGCCAGCCATGGGAAGTGACAGCTGAACCCGTGAGGTGGAGCCAGAAGCATGTGTGCACCATCCGTGCAAGGGTCTTCACAGACCCACGGACTCAGGTGGCATGCCTCTTGGTTTTTTTCTCTTCCTTTTTGGTTTTTTTGAAACAGGGTTTCTCTGTGTAGCTTTGAAGCCTGCTCTCTCTCTCTCTCTCTCTCTCTCTCTCTCTCTCTCTCTTTAATTGTGTGTGTGTGTGTGTGAGTGCCCTCAGAGGCATTGAAGTGAAGTTATGCCTGACTGCGAGCCACCCATTGCAGTATCAGGGAACTGAACTCGAGTCCTTTGCAGGAGCTGCAGCAGCCCTTAGCCACTGCACCATTTCCCCAGTCCTCTAAACATTGATTATTTGGTGTTCTGTTTTCATGGGCTTCTCGTGAACGCAGGCAATATGCTTCTTTTTGGTTCTCCCGCTCACGCCGCACCTTTTCAGAAGTGCGTCTGGCAGGCCGCATGTCTGGGACTTTTGCTTCTTTTCTCACTGATATGGTGAGCTTCCTCCAGGGTGACAACAGCCTTCCAGCTGTGTCTGAAGCAGTCCCTGTGTCCTCTGGATGTGACTGAATAATCTGTGAAAGCTGAATGTTACATCGGTGCGGTTCATGTTTTATTAAGCTCCTCCTTGAAATGGAAAGCACCGCACTTTAAGTCAGTTTAAGATGGAGTTCGTTCATTAAAGCCTTAGAGAACGGAAGGCTGCTACAGGCGTGGATCAGCACCTTCCTCATTGACTGTCCTGCTGTTTTCAGGTGGAGCATGGTGCTCCGAGTGTTAGCAGGATAGAGCTACACACGTCTATAAAAGTCCTGTCGTCGTTGGGGGTGGTTTTGTGTGTTTATGCAGGACGTCATGTCAGATAGCCTGTGTATCTGACTCTGGGTTTTCCTTGTCTAGCCCTATAGCTAGTGTTCATCACTTTGTTTCTGCTCTTTGTGAGACAGGAGAGGGAATCACTCAACAACATTTTAGGGATCCCTGCAGATATTTTTAGTGGCACCTTTCAATTGAGAGTTTGTCTGGAGGCTGGCTTTCGTTACCATCTTCCTGGTAAACATTTAGCCCTCACGTGGTTCCGACGTCCGTTTTTATTAAATAACTAAAGGACAATTTGTATATCTCTTCTCAAAATTTGCTTTCAATAAAAGGCAGTGCTGAGAAGCCCCCAGCGTCCATCAGTGTTTGTTTCTCTTCCATTGCCACGGAATTCACAAGGCTTTGGGGAGTGAGTGAAGACGCTGGCTGTGTATGTTCGCAGGGCTGTGGTCTCCCTTGATGGTGCGCGTACTTGGAAATAACTCCGTGCAGACAAACTGTCAGGAGATGCGGCTGTTTACGGGGCACGCTCTGACTGTTCTCTTTGTTGCTGCCTTTCGTCACTAAAGAGCTTGAGTAGAGACGTTGTTTTAGACATTTTTTCCTGTATTCATTTTTTTTCTGTTCTCTGATTTAATCTGAAGTGATTTCACCCTCACATTCAGTGAGTCTCTGGGTAAGTGTTTAAAAAGTGCAGTGCCCGTGTTCATGTCTGGTCCTCTCTTTCAGACTCACCGACGAGGCGCGACGGCTCATTGGTGAGCTGGGGAGTACGTCCATCACTAGTCTTGGCTTCCGAGATAACTGGGTCTTCTGTGGTGGGAAGGGGATTAAGACCAAGAGCCCCTTTGAACAGGTTAGCGTCTGAGTTTTTCTCATATAATATTCTCAAACCATTTATTTAGAAATTATATTAAGTACTGGGCAGTGGTGGTGTTCTCCTTTAATCCCAGCACCTGGGAGGCAGAGGCGGGTGGACTCAGAGTCAGAGTTAGTTCCAGGACAGCCAGGGCTATGTAGAGAAACATGATCTGAACCCCTTCATCCTCCCCCCAAAAAGAAAAGATAAAAGAAAATTAGATTAAGCAAATACTGAAAATATCCAGATAGTTTTTATAAGTTCTTGGTATATAATTAAAATAATGATGACTTTTAAAAAAATTTTCAAAACTTAAAATTATTACCCCCTTATTCGACAGTGCATTACCATTCTCGGTTATTAAGGATTTCAGCTATGCTTTCATGCTGGAACGGCTGAATTTGCAGGTATCTCAGAGCTCCAATAGAATGTAAACTTTTCGACAAATAATCCTCTAAAAACGTTTGGAGATTTTTCTTTACACGCGTTTTTTATTTTTGTAAGGTTTGCCACATAGCTCCCTGCCCACAGAGGTCCCTCCTGTAATCTCTGGAGCTGTAATTTATGTTACCGCATTGTTGACCTGTGTTACTGAAACGAGGCTGAGCGGGTTATGCTATTTATTGCGAGTTAGCAGATCGCAAACATTCGTTAAGCTGTGCACTGCCGTTGTGTCCCTGCAGCACATAAAGAACAATAAGGATACAAACAAGTACGAAGGATGGCCCGAGGTGGTGGAGATGGAAGGATGCATCCCCCAGAAGCAAGACTGAAGGGAGCGTGAAGACAGGAGGAACGCACTTTGATTCTGACGCGGCCGGCTGCAAAGCCGCCGCTCTACTCCGTGTACATATTCTAGCAGCATGCGGCCGTCCAGGGTGTGCACGAGCAAGATTGTCTCTGTCGATTCCAGGATTATTTATTGTTAACATAAATGACTACCTTTGTAAATAGCCCTCCGATCACTAAACCCCTTTTAAGCACATTTCCCTACAAGAACAACGTGTAGACTTCAGTGGCAATAATGTACTTCAGTACGGAAAGCATATTCGGTGGGTAACCAGGCCGGCTGCATAGGCATTGATTTCTATTCTGGTTGCTGTGAAACTCCGTCCTGGAAAAACATGGCTTTTAGGGAGGAAATCTTATTCGTACATATGTCTCTGTATAAATATCTGGCATGTGATGACAGTATCCTTTAAATTAAAGAGATTTTTGGCTAGTTGTATGTATGTTATCTTACAGTCTGGCTCCTAGCACATCTCTTTTCGTAGTCTTAATTTTTTTCCTTCCAAAGAAAGCAAGAAATAAAATGTTTCACATGAAAATTTTCATCAGGTTTGTGAAAAGCACAACGGTTTTTTTTATACACTGAAAATGAACATTAATATAGGTGTCATTTGGGGCTCATCTTCTGGATTTTGTGTTAGCAGTATGAATTATGTGATTTTTGTATAAGCTTTTTAGAGTTCGCCTGGAGAACCAGGCCAGGTCCCTTCCTCAACCTAATCAGGTCATTCTCCACTGCTCGGTCCGTGCCCCTAGGGCAATGCAGGCTCTTGTCTGCTTGGTTGCCGGCAGGCACTGAGTACAAGGATTAATCTCCTCTGACAACTTTGATTTGTAAATCAAGAACTTCTGTTATTTACTTCTAATTTCATAGTAGCAACCATTGCCTGAAATTGCAGCAGAATATTTTATAAAGTCCCAATTACTTTATTAGGGCACTAAATACCTATCATATGTGACATGTATGGAGTACTTAAAATGCAACATACACAAGTGGAGGACTCATGCTGCCTTTCATGGGATGAGGCAACACTTAAAATTCGAACCTAAAATTTAGGTGGCTTGTATAAAAATCAAAAAACAGTATTTGCTATTTTGTTAAAAGCTGGAAGCAAGTCCCATATTTCTTGAATATTACTGACCTTGTGTTACTGTTTCTTCTCGCAGACCGAATGTAGTAGTTCATAAAGAGTCCTGTCTTCTGTCTTCGGGCCAGTTTTGTAAACTTTGAAGAGTTCTGGTGCTTCTATCCTTACTCATGCCCCACATGCCTGTCTTGACATGTGAAATATTTCCCTTGATTCTGTTAGTTGTTTTACAGTTTCTAGGGATTGGAAAATAAATGTTGCAGGTTTTGTTTTTTGTTTTTTTGTTTTTTTTTAATAATGTAAGTACTCTTGGTTGCACATTGTCAATTGTGTGTGTGTGTGTATTTGACAAAGTACATACTGTACCTGCAGGACATCACATGACTGTCTTTTTTGACAATTTTTTAGTACTTCTTTACATTTAAAAAATTAAGTCTTTGCATTAAACACAGTAATATTCTCTGGATATGTCTGAACATGTGTTGAAATTAAGTTGCTTGACAACAGATGATCCCTTTGGATTTTACAGACCGGAGAGATGTCTCTTCAGTATAAAGTGTGGGAAGGGTAGCACTGCCTTTGGAACTGCTACAGTGCCATTGTTTTCGTCTGGCTCCTGTCTTTTGTTGGTTGCACCAGCATAACTGGAAGCAATAATCGACTGTTTTACGTTCACATCAGCCTTAGAAGTGAAACAACACTCATTTGGTGTTGAGAATTTTCTTTATTAAAGTCAAAGCTCTAACACTGGCGTGTAGTCTTTGAAGTGATGGAAGAGGCCTGCGGATGCAGTTCCATCTGTAATCATGAGTGCGCCCCTAGCAGAGCTGTGGGAGGTGGGTGTTAGAACAGGAAGGGGAAAATAAGTGGTGTCTGGGCAATGGGAAAAATAAAGAGGAGGTTTATATTCTTTTAACTTGGTTTAAGTTAAAGTCATTTTATTTTGTTATATTTGTTTTTGAATAAATCAGTCAATAATTTGCAAATTTTATAATTTAGCTTGTGTTTTGTATTTCAAAGGTTTGCACAAATTATAATTTCATCTCAAAATGATGCATGGTTTATTCTGTTTTGTCAGCCCTCTCTCCCAATCCATTTTAAATGAAAAAGAGAGAGAGATGCACTGTGCTCAGTGAGCACAATGAGCAAAGCAGTTTAAATGGAAATGCATTTGACATCTTTTCAAGTCAGCATGAAACGGGGATGCTTGTTGATTGGGTAAAAGATTTGCCACTCAACCAATTGCTTCTGCCTCTTCAAAGGCTAGAAATGGATTTCACCTTTTCTAAAGCATTCTAAGAGTTCTTGTCCTTACCAGGAAGACTTTTCTACCACAAACTTGGTTTGATTGTCACATGCCACATGGCCAGTCAATCCCCACCTCTCAAATCCCTTCTTTCTCCTCTTATTCCTTCTTGAAACTCTTGGCACCCATCAAATCAGAGCAAGGTGGGATGAAAAATTGTCAGGCTTAGGGAGGGGCAGTTGTTGCCAGGTAGGATAAGGGAGCATCAAAGGACTCCCTGGGGAATCTTAAGTCTTCCTCCAGCGGAGGGGGTACACAGTGAGAGCACTGTACAGAGGAAGCAGTTCTGTGGTGGCCAGAGGGCAAAGCGATTGGTCAGCCCTGAGGTTAGGTGACAGCCGTGCTTCTCTTGGGTTGTCCGTAACCTTGTGATTAGCTTAGGGAGACTTGTCAGCCCCTGAGCTGACAGGTACTATTTGTTGCTAGTACTAAACTCACTGTCCAGCTCGGCATCAATTCGGCAGCATGGAGTGCACTGAACATGGAGCGAACTTGAGATCATTTTAATAAAGATGTTCCGGTATTAGGGACAATTTGTGGACATGCCAGCTACTAACGTCATAGAATTAGATTCTGTTTGCTTGGTAACCGGAGAGAAGAGGACCTAAAACCTTAAAGGGGGACATTCTGAAAGAGGAAACCATGTAGCATACTGCTTAACACCACAGATATGCCTGAGTGTGCCCTGTGTGTGCACTGGTCATGCTTTGAATATTGTTAGTTTCCTGTAAAGCAGTACTAGAGTGTTTCCAGCCAAAGGATGAAATACTCATTAAATCCAGTTACTGATGCCTATTGCAGACTAGTAGACTCTAGAGCCAGAAAAGTTACCAAGTATTCATCTGTGGTTTACCAGTTCTCCTAAGCCAGAAAGGATCCAGTCAGTGAAGGGACAGTGACCTTATTCACGGATGAGATGCGGCTGCGTGTGAAGCCATCTTTGATCTCCAAAGCTCCAACTGGGTTTCACATTCTATCTCATTCACTACTCAGAACACCAAAAGTCCCGTCATATGCAGAATCCAAGATTTCATTTCTTTCTAGGTGGTCAGTATTTCAAATCCAATAAAAATGGGGTGGGCTCTGCTCATCAGGCTAGCTATGAATGAAAATGTGAGGAACCTTGTAGGGAACCCAGACATTGGTCCTTGCTAATAACTGGCTGTAGGGCACCGTGAGAACATTAGGAATAGGGAGACAGCAGGACTTCGTTGCAATCCCACTAACACTTGCCCCTTGCTTAGAAGGGCCACTAAGAAAGTGTCTTGCCGTCAGGACTGTCTAGGCATAGGAAGACTCTTAAGTGGGGATTTTGAAAGTTTTATTATTATTGATATTATTGTTTACTTTGGGGGATTTCCGAGTACATCTTCCACAGCGTGTTAACCACCATTCAAATGAGCTTTGCTTTACCAGTGAGGTTGGTATCACCATTTGGATACAGCTTGATGTATCCAACAAACTCAACCTAGGGACAAGTGAGTTCTCTGCCAGGTCTGCCTTTCTGCATCACCCGTGAAATATGACAGCCCATTGTATGTCTACTACCAAACAGAAATGTCATCTTCTGTAGAGCTGTCCCTTCAAGCAGAGAAGGGTTAATACTCACCCCTGGGACTCAGGTTTTAACTAAGAGCCCAATGTGATTCTCGGGTGTCTTTATCTTAAAACTAAATGTCAAGCTTTGCATTTTGATTTATTTATGCATGATGACATTAGCATGGAAATCTGAATCATTTTCAAGTTCAGCTCCAAAACTACTGTGCTTAGGTTTAGTTCTGTTGGGAACTAAATTGGGAGTTTGATTAGAGACCTGCATTCTCTGACGAGAGCAGAAATGAACAGCGAGACTGTCTTAGAGTGAATCATGTTGGGCACTGTCCTCTGGATGTGTTCAGTTCACCCACAAGCCAGTAGTCAGTAGTGCCTGTAAGCAGGGCACTCCAAGAATACAGAACAGGAGGTTTAGTTGCTTGGTTTCCTTAGGCGTGAGGAATGGGATCTGGGTTCTTGCTCTGGAGACTGCTCTGCCCTCAATAGTTTTCTGCTCTTCAGCAGGTAGCTGTGAGAGACCAGATAGATGAATGAACCTGTCCCTAAACTACAGACATTGGAAGCTCTTGGTGAGCATGAGGGGAGAAGGGAGCAGAGTGGTTAATTATATGTTTTGCAAATACTGCCAAAATTCTATTACCATGGAAATATTCTGGAGTGGGTCCCCCATGGTTCTGAATCCCGGGGGCGTGTTGGATGTGGACCCAGTGGCAGGGATTGTGGCAACTAGAATTTTGAGGTTTCTCTATTTAATCAGTGAAGTTCAAAGTGGTATTTTGAGAAATAATTGGTGATTTGGAGAGAGAAAATATTTTCTGGTTGGCAAAAGGAAAAATTTCTCAAAATAATGGAATTTGTTTTTGTGACATCATCCTGTTCTCATTAAATAGAAGGCACATCAGAGACCTTGTACCCATCCCACTGACTTCAGCTTTCCTGCTTTCAGTTATACTGTATGCTAGCTTATTTATTTATTTTTTTTTTTACCCAAAGAACTTGAGTGCAGCAAATACTAGTTTTCTGGAGAGTTTACGATGCAGGAATGGTAGCGCATAGAACCAGTGAAGAGTGGAGATTATGTACTGAGAGAAAGCAGATTGTTGAATTAATTTGTGTGTCCCCTCTGCTTGCCTTAGAGCATAAGTTGTGTTTCTGCTTGCTTGCCTTAGAGTATAAGTTGTATTGAAATATCCAGTAAAATATGGTGCTGGCCTTTGCTCATCAGAAATACTCAGTGGGGACGCAGGATTACCTTTTGTTATCATAGAGGCCCAGATCTAGGTAGAGATAGGCTATGACCACAGCTGTTAGGTTGTTACTAATAGTTCTCGGCAGCTGTGGAGGTCACCCCCGGTGCTAGACCAGCCATTTAACAGGAAATAGACAGTCTTTATTCCATCACATTTTGCTTCCAATTCTTATGAATCAGATGATTCCTCTTACTGTGCTCATTAAAAAGACACAGATGAACCTCCGTTTGAGTTGACTCTGTTCGTATTTACTGCTGTCTCCACAATCACTCAGAGGGCTGCTTTCTCTAGCATATTTGTTTTCAAGGTTTTAACCTGGTGCAAAACTTTCTGTCTGGGAGATAAAACATTGCAAACGACAAATGTTACTTTTTTTTTTTTTTTTTTTTTGGTTTTTCGAGACAGGGTTTCTCTGTAGCTTTGGAGCCTGTCCTGGAATGTTACCTATTTTCTGAAGAGAATACCTGTGAAGCAGTGTGCTCTAAGCCCATCAGCGAGGGCATATTTATTTTATGCTGACTTTAATTGTTTTGTTATTTCCTCAGATCATTTCTTCTTGGACTGTTGACAGCTTCTTGGGTAATCCAACTGTTAGCAATGTGGGGATCTAAAATAGAGGCTAGTTTAAATCACTTTGAGCTCCTTAACCAAGTTTAGATAACCGAACTATGAAGAAACATCTGCAATTTGATGATGCTTACAGATCCCTCAAAGTCTTTCCATGGTGTGGTCCTAGTCCATTGGTGATTTGGATACCGTGTGATGCACAGGAGCAGCCGGTCCATCCTGTGTGAGCATGGGAGGCTACTTGATTGACAGTTACTATGGTAACCCCGCTCATCTGAGAAATGGAGCCACAAAAATGGTGCCTAATTTATAGGGCTGTTGTGTACATGTATGTATTATGTATATGATATTTATTTTGGTTCATGTCAGCTATACAGCAAACAGTATCAAGGTGATTACTAGAGTTATATTTTCATTCAAAGGAAATGAGTCCCATCTCTCTCTGGTATCCCACTATGCCCCCTGACATGCAATGACATAGTTCTGCTCTTTATCCAAGACGTGTTTTACTTGCTGCATTGGAAAATTGAAATTAAAGCCAGAATCAGTACAACTTAGCTTTCCTTCGAAAGGTTTGTCTTGGGGATTATGTGTGGTTCCTGGAGAAAGAATTTGTACTTTTCCTTCAACAAATCAGCTTAGCAGATCATAGCACTCTGAGTTAAGGACCTAACTAATTAGTGGCTTATTTTTCCAGGCTTTGAGAACTAATGGGAGGTGATACAGAAACTACTAGCAACTCACAAAGGGCTGCTACTTCTCCTCCCATGCTTCTCTTTTAGTAAAAAATAACTTTGATGAATTTTAAGGGTCATGGTTAAATGTTCAGTGCTGATCTTAACAGTGGAACTGTTCATATCAGCACGAAAAATGCTTCCGAAAATGTGTGGTTCAAAAAATATGTACTGTGAATATCTCATGGTTCTAAAGCAGCAAGGGCATGTGAAATAATAGCGTGTAAACATATGTAATGAAGTGTTCTTATTCTTGCTATCATGTGTAGTTCCTTAAACTATAGAACAGAGGAAATGCCATTCAAATTGGGAGTGGGGGATACTGTGGATGTTGATATTCAAAACAGTGAATAGGATCTATAGCGTACTGTTATCAGAGAAATGCTTTCTCTATTCCTATAGTAGAGGTTATAGATGCTATTGTTTAAGGTAGCTTTCATTATTATTATTATTATTATTATTATTATTATTTAAAGATAGAGTCTTACTATGTAGACCTGACTAGAATGGAGTGCCCTATATAGACCAGACTGCCCTGGAACTCACTGAGATCTGCTTGCCTCCACCTCCCAAGTGCTGGAATTAAAAGTGTGTACCACCATACCTGGTTTATTTTTCCTTGATTTCATTTTAAGGTGATCCATTGTCTCTTATTAGTTCCAAATCAGGAAAAAAAACAACAACAAAAACTTAAATTTGTAAGTTGAAAAAATAATACATTAGTGGAACTGCTTCCACATGCACAGCCCACAGTATTTGGGCTTGATCAGTCTGTCTGAGAGTTCTGTGTGAGGCCAGACACTGCAAACACATTGCTAGAAGCAGGCATGGTGGTCGTTCTTGTTCCCTTACGTCCTGGTTTTCCTCTAAACCCAATCTCCTCCTCTCTACTCCCAAACTGCCTAAATTAGTTGTAGTTGAAATCCTACTGGATTGCCACTAGACAGATAAGACTGCCTGTGGCCTGCCCCCAGCTCCCAGTTGTCACTGTGATTGGCTTAAGTAGAAGCACATTTAACCGGTCAGTGCTAACATCAACTCAGAAGATCTTTGCCAGACCTTCCCGGAAGGCAGCTTTTTCCCGTCTTTGGTGTACAGAACAAGAAAATGACCTTCGTTTTTCCTTAGAAGGTTACGTCTGTAAATGTGGTAGCCACGTGACCAAGAGAGGCAGAGACGGAGCAGCCAGGGCTGCAAGCATTTGGGGCACACAGCCACAGAGCCTGGCATTCAGGACAATGCCGGAGTGACGGGGAGACCTGAGCCTGAGGACTGTGGCAGACTCTTACTGATAATTCTTCCTCTGACCCAGTTAACATTTGGAAGTTTTCAATTTCTGAGTCAATATGCTTCCTTTAATGTTTAACTCAGTCTAGTCTGGGTTTGTGGTTACTTGCCACATAAAGACACATAGGTGAAAAACACATGGCTGACTGAAAAGGTGGTGTCTAAGATAAGAAGGGAAAGAACCCAGAGACTGTGGGAATGAGAAATTCCTTCTTGGCATCATAGAGAGGACAACCACAGCCACAGCCACGTAGGGACTGGGTTTTTGATGCAATGGCTGGAGTCAGCAGCTGCTAGTGACAAAGAGGGTAACTAATTCTCAGTCAAGCACTAGGGTAGTCGGAAAGATTTCCTAGTTAATAGAATAAGCAGTTAACGTGCTGTAGTCTTTCTCTATAAAAGTAAAAGAGTGATTATTTTCAGTGCAGATAAATTAGTTACTTTGCAAAAAGACTGTGAGCGTGCCTCACCCCACATTATACTCAGAGTAACAAGGAACGGGAAACAATTCTTTCAAATTAGCACAGTATTTGTTCATTTGCCATGTCCATATTTCTCATTTAGCAAACAGTAACTGTTAGACTTTATGGGTCACAATTAAATGTGCAGTCTTGATTTTCTTAACATCAGAATTTGAGATACCTTCCATGGGTTTGATTTTCATGTTGTTGTTCAATATATATTTTAAAAAATAATAGGAAAAATTGAAATCTTTGATAAATATCTTATTAATAAAAAAGAATATTCTTTGTGTCCATCATGAGCTTAGAAGAGCTATTTTTCAATATGATTTGAAAATATTTTAACAAAGCATGAAAGTGTAACCATTTACATTAAAATGTAACCTTAGATAACAGCCCTGTGATGTTTCAATAGGTATCTTGTAAAATATGAACATACATATGTGGATATTAAAATAAGAGAGGGACTAAAGATTTAACTTAGTGGTAGAGTATTTGCATAGCAAACACAAGGCCCTTGCTTCTGTCCTTAGATCCAAAAGAAAAAAGAAAAAAAAAAGGGAGAGAAAGAGAAAAGAAAAACAGTACTCAATTTTCAAATGGAAAGACAACATTGCATAAAATTTAATAAATACCCAGGGTATCAAGTTCACCATTATTCTGGCTTAGATTCCTTTTCCCAACTAATACCTTTACTATGAAATTGTTATAATAAAGCAGAGATAAGGTTGAAATGAGTTCAGTTATCTGGCTACTGAAATAAGACAATCTTTAATATTTTATAACATACTTTAACCTATAGCATAAAAAAGCCTGTCATTTTCAAGATATCCAGGGCTATGCAGAGACATCCTGTCTTGATAAAAAGAAGTTTTGTTTTTCTTAAAAGAAGAAAGAAAGCTGTCATTTTGGCAAAAAATATACATCCGGGCAACTGCCCCAACTGTTTTCTTTTGCAATGCTTTAAGAAAGAATTAGTGGTATGAAAAAGAAAAGATTATTGTTATTTCTTGACATAACCTTATTATTGTAGTCCTCTAAGAATTTGACCATAAATGTCTTTAAGTCTTAATATATGTCACATAAGTTAAATACTATATTTACAAATTATAAAACTTTTAAAGCAAAATACTATACAAAATACTGTCTTTATATAATTAGGGGGCTTTATCTTGTTACTTCCATTTTTTTCTTATCTTTTTAGGGATCTCACTTCCCTGTATATCACAGCTGAGTTTTTGATGGTAAACACTGGTCTATAACAAAAGGATAAATCCAAAGATTAAAAGTGAGATAAACTCTGCAGAGCTTTTTCACTCCCTAAACAAATCCCCCTAGTTAAAGGCACCTAAAAATCCAACTCATGCTTCATTCCTTACATACTGATTCTTTTTTTTTTTTTGCTTAATATCTTTAAAAATACTTTGACTTTTTTTTTGCAGTCTATGGAAGCATAAACAAGCACCTGCCCCTTAGTTAATTTTCGGTCTCCGCTCTCCTATGCACAAACACTTAGTATAATCAATTCTATTAACATACTGAGGGAGAATGCAAATCATGTGTGCTGTTCCTTTGCTCCTATAAGAGATGTCTTTAAAACATGATCGCTGTGCACACGCCATGACTGATTTCTGCATCTATGTCCTTGGTCTTTGCTTTTATCCTGAGCCTGCCTGGACTAGGTCTCCAGATAGGGACTTTTTTTTTCCCTTTTCCCCCCTTTCCTTTCCTTTCCTTTCCTTTCCTTTCCTTTCCTTTCCTTTCCTCTTTTTTCCTTCCTTCCTTCCTTCCTTCCCTCCCTCCCTCCCTCCCTCCCTCCTTCCCTCCCTCCCTCCCTCCCTCCTTTCCTTCGTTTCTATTTCTTAGGGGACAGATTGATGTTCCCCATATGTCAATATCTTTTCACAAAACCATCCAAAGGTGACTGCCAACCTTTTCTCTTTTAGAACTCGAAGCAATCCTCGTCTTGCGATCAGAAAGAAGAAATCACAGCTTGACCCAGGGATCTGCAATGGCATTGCAGGCAGTGAGGTCTTTCTCCGTGCACAGTAGGGGGCGCCCTCCAGGTTTCAACTCTTGGTTGCTAGTCTTGATGGAGAGATTACTTACAAGTGTGGACATCAGTCATGCTTTCACACCTCCGGCAGCGGACGTAGCAGCACCAGATAAACTTACATTCACACCTCTCCACGTGCCTGACCACGTGGGTGTTGTAGCCCCGGCCACAGCAGAGGAGGTTGCAGCCATCGGCACCTCCCGACGTACGGTTGCACTCTCTGCCCTGTGTCCCAGGAATTCCCAGTTTCTTGTTCTCCACACAGTAGTTGGGAGACTTATGAACGTACAGCAGGTCGTCTTTATGGATGGGTGTCTGTGTCTGACCTTTTTCTCTCCTGCGCATTTTCCTCTTGGCTTTGTCTGAAATCTGGATGCTGTTTTCATATTTATCCTTTAAAAAATGCCCAATCTTTTCAAAAGAGGACATAGTTTTCCAGCAGGTTTTCACAGCGCAGGAGCCGGAAACTCCATGACAGCGGCAGTCCACAGACATTAACTTGGCGACAGCCTGAAACCAACAATGATTGTGTGCAAATGTCATTTGTGCAGGTTTTCATTCAACAGCAGAAACAGTTAACCTAGCCACTCAAGTTGTTCTTGCTCATTTCCTCTATAAAAATGACGCTTTGAACACAAACCATCTTTAAGGTTGTTTAGAGTTCAAATATTTTGTCATTTATTTCTGTCTAAATGTTTTGAGTCTACAAAGAAAACCCTCCCATGCCACATTAAAAACAGTAGGGGTGGGAGGGGCGGCGAGGTGCCCACTGAGTGCTGTCAAGCCTGATGACTTGAGTTGGAACCCTGGGAAACCACAGGGTAGAAGGAGAGAACCAATTCCTGCAAGTCGTCTTCTGGCTTCCATATGTGCACCGTGGCGTGTGTGTAGCTCCCTATACTAAATAAATAGTTACATAAAAACTATAAAATAAATGATTACCAGAACAGCCACGTTTACTACTTACCAAAGACAATCCGAAACTTCACAGGGAAAGTCCTCTCATTCCTAATAAGTACCTCACTCTTTTGGGGATGAGGAAGGATGCTGGTGCTTGCCTGCATCTCCCTAATACCACTCCAAGCCTTGCTATTCAAAGTCTGTTTCATGGGCCACCGGCTCCAGCATCCCTTGTAAGAAATGAAGACAACCCTGGTCTTAAGTCCGATGTACAGAATGAAAAGCTACACTGTAAGCCAGAGCTCCAGGTGATTAGCATGCAGAGCACTCACAGGGGAGGTCGTAGCCATCAATTTTCACAGCAAATACAGAAACATCAGTACAACTCTCCCAGGAAACCAATTCTCAAGCCCGTGGAATCTGACAGGCTGGGGTGAGCTGCTTACATGATACGGCGGCACCTGTTGGTTGATTCTATAGAACCTTCCTAGGGTTTGTCACTATATTGTCAATTACATCGGGGGGGGGGGTGTGGAGAGGGTAAAGGCGGAGTGAGAACATGCTATACTCTGGTCACAGACCACACGAGAAACCCTGCCTCAAGTCAGATTGCCTCAGGGAGAGGAGCTGCAGGCAGTGAGGCGGCTGCCGACAAGTTCCGCTTTTCTGAAAAGTTTAATTGAAAACATAGCTCCTGTCCTTGACGAATAAACAGCAGTATATTAGCACAAAGAATAAAAAGAGAAATAATTCCTGTAATCGCCACTCTCGGTAGGTTGAGGTGGGAAGGCTCTGAACGTGAGGCTGCCTTGGGTAACTTAGTGCGTCCAGGCCAGCCTAGGCTGCAGAGTGGGACCTTGTCTGAAGAAAAGGAAAAGACGACCATGTTTACGTAATTTTAGATTCATGTCTAAGTGCTTCAGTTTTTCCAACCCGGAGCACTACTTGATCTTACACACGCTTGTGCTAGCCCATTGTTTGCGGTGTAGTATGGTCTAGACACTCCTGCCTTTGAGAAAGTTAGAGTAAAAGTTAAGGTGAATTTTTCAATGAGCCTAAAATAACAATCTAGAGAGTTCTAAAGGGGAGCTCTAACCTCTAGTGTATGAACATTGCTTCCTGCAGTCCCCAGACGATGGCAGGACAGATTAATAAATTATCAGGACTAGTTGTAGAGTTGACATTCTGTCGACAGGCTGGGCTAATGAAAAATGAATTCGCCCACTCAACAACTTGAAAATTATGTGCATAGTCTCACAATAGAAATTTAAATTCCATTTACAGTTCTTATCAAAACTACAATATAACCAAGGCTTTATTACTATTGATATGTCTACAGAAGGGCATTTCCTAACATTCCCTGAACAGTAACCACACAGAATATTTCAAACAAGTAATATTGTATTGCAGCCTTACATGAGCACATATGATATTGATTTGTACAATACATTGAGTAGCATTGAAAACAATCAATAGAATGGTATTGAATCCTGTCCTTTCTAGAATATAGGACACAATCATTTTTACTCATAAAACTTCAAAACTGATATATGTATCTATTTCTTAAACACAGGGAAAAAAACCCTATGGGAACATAGGAACAACTTATCACACAAAGTACAGCACAAAGATAATCTGATTTGTGGTATTTGTTATGCACAAAATCCTAGTTTCTTTAAGAACTCTATATGCAGATAAATATTTAAAATTAATGCAATCTGGCCACCTTTGTTCATATTTTAAGTGCCAAAGGATACGAAGGAAAAAAAGAGCTCAATCAGTGTAGGTAATAAAATAAATAGTCCGAGAAGCCCCAGACCCGAGAGTAAGTATATGTTTAAACCAGATCAGCGTTCCTGATAGTCATCACCCAGTGATTTAAAGCTGCCTTTCCTCCTGATCGTGACTGAAAGCCCAACTTCCTTTTTTTTTTTTTAACCCATTCAGACATGTGCACTCCTGGTTTGCTAAGCATGACTAACAGAGTAGATTCTGCACTTCAAATGACGGTGCACTTGCGCAAGCCATTCTAATGTACCCTCCATGGCTAACCCGAGTAGGAAGAGTAACAAAAACCACCCTCACAAAGGCAGATCATACTGCTGGAGGGTCAGTGGTCCCAGAGGATCTTGAGCTAGCAGGGCTCTCCTCCAGCTTCATCATAACTCTCTGCCAAACAGCACGAGTCCACCAAATTGCTGTACAAAAAAAAAAAAATTGTAAAAAGAGGCTTGCAAATACAACTTTGTCACCTACTAAGCTTATATTAGGATTTTGAAGGATTTTCCTACTCTAAAAAAAAACGGCTCTTTTTAAATACTGGAGTTGATAATTTTGCACTATATTATGCTTTTCAACTTTTAGTTCTAAAACTTTTGTGCAAAACTGGCCAGAACATACGTAGCAGAAGATAGCATTCTTTTCATAGAAGTCACATATTATTTTTCTACCTCAAAATTTACATATTTAAGTTCACTCTGAGTAGAAGAAGCCCAAGAGTCTCGCATACAGTTTGAATGATGATGTCCCCGTAACACGCCAAGGATTGAGCTTGGGATTAAAGCAGAGCAAAATAATCATTACTCGGAGAATTTTATGAAATACGGAGTTTCAGGGTAGGCACATATACACAAGGGTTTAACTTTGCCGACAGTGTTTTTTGGAGCACATTTTCATAAATCTTGTACTTGATCTGGTTTTTTAGCAAGAAATTCTTTTTACTTAATGTGTAGTTAATGAACAGGTACTTAGTTGTGATTCCAGTTTTATCGAAAAATAAACAATGTGGTTAAGACACTTGTCTTACATAAATTAGTGACATATAATATAAGGTCTTTATAACTCAGCAAGATTATGTTAGAAAAACAGAAAAAAAACGAAAGTGGAAAATACAAGTATATTTAAAAATCTTCCAGCAACTCCCCGAAATGTGTGTTCTCTATCTTTCCTGCCGGGGTTCTTAATTGTTGTGAAATGGCCAGTGTGAGCCACAGTGGTGGTTCTGATGTTTTCTGCTAACTGGAAAAGAGAATAGCAACCGAATGAATTGTGTGTGGTTATGGGGAAATTCCTCTCTCTCCTCTAGTTGAGTTGTTAAGGTTTATAACGACATTAACAGAGGAATGTTTTGTTAACTATTGCAAACAGATGTGCGCATTTTGACGGAACAGTGTAAAACTATAGGAGAGTGATTAGGATGGTGGCATTTAATCCACAGGGCTCCTCATGGAAGTTTTGGGTTAATCAGTTCTACTGAAGGGAAATGGGAAAGATGTATCATTACTGGAACTCGGTGCAAAGGCAGATGCCGCATAAGAAATGATTTATGGGCTAATTTTTTCACAATTTTCAGTCAAAGGTAACGCTGAGGGCAGAGATCTTTTTCTACATATTGCTTTATCCAAACTTTACGAGGAATGGCCAGAAACTGTGTGGAACATTCTGTAGTCAACACTTCATTGTGTCTGCCACCGGAGGATCTGCTTAACTTAAGAACTCTGCGAGTTAAGATCGGATGGGGGTGTGTGTAGGATTTCTGTTCCTCCGCCCCACTTTATCCCTTTATATCCCAAAATACATCTGAACCTGCTGAAAATGAAAACACAGTTGTGTTGTTCGACTACTTCTAAATATTCTTGAAACAGGTCAATGAAAATTTGGGGTCTGCCCTTCCCACTTTGTTGAGTTACTCATAATAAAACAAATTATGGGGTAGGAAAACTTAAAAGTTTATGAGGTAGACATGGTAAGAATGGAAATATTTTAAGCACACCAAAAGAAATACCCATAAATATTCCAAGTCACAGTATTCCCAGAAGTTCTGCCCCTGGAAGACATCACATCACTCTCGCAGCCAATCACCGCCCAGCAACATTATTCTTGGAGTCATAAGTTTAGGAATGGTGTCAGAAACCAAGTGGGAATCAGAGTATTTAAGGTCAGCGGTTAGAAAATCATCTATCCTGTTCACAGTGCTACTAAGCGCCAGTACCCACATTTCTCTGAACGCTTTCCTACATTCTGAGTTTGGGATTTGGAGACTAGAAAAACCAACTCAATTGAATGCAGACCTTAAACTTTATTCAGACAAATATGCCTGACAGATCAAAATCATAATAGCTAATATTAAAAATTGAGTCAGTTTCTCGTCCATGTTAGGGAAACCTCCTTTTGTTTATTTAGACTTTTTTTTTTAAGGTAGCAGTGGAAAGAAAAATACGAAAATATTTTGAATTAGAATGCCTCCCAAAAAAAGATAAACAAAAAATGCCCAAGAATTACCCTGAAAATAGTCAGGTAAATGTTTTGTAATATTTTAGGATTCCATCTAGAACAATGTGAGGCAAAAGATTCAGTAAGGGAAACTGAAAATTTCACAAAACCTGCATCTTTATATGGACTAAACTGTTCTTTGCTAATACAGAAAAATAGCAAAAAAAAAAAACTATGTAAAATGGAGTAATTGATTTTTTCCCAATTCATAGTGTAATGTATTAAAATTGATGCAGATCAAAAACCCAAAAATCAAAATGTAAATAACTGTTTAAGACCCATATTATCAATGATAGGAGTGAACATAGCTGTCTAATTTGAAAGTAAGATGAAATAAAACAGAATGTTAATAATAAAATTAATTTTCTTTAATACAAATATTTTAGGTTTTCATAAGCTCAGGTACAACTATATTTATTTAAGAGTTAATCATAAGATGAACTTCTGAGTTTCGTTTTTTGGTTAAATTTTAAAATCACTACCAAGCCATTTAAAGAATGAGGAGTAATGAATATTTATGCAATTGTTTTCTCAACTCTTAATTGGCTGTAGTGATTTGGTGTCCACTGATGTTTTTTCTTGAGCTTAGTGCTAGAGTTTTAAAAGAATATATTAATTGCATTACCTCCTTTCATAGTAAAATGCTAGAAATAATAAATATTTATTTAAATTCAATTGACAGCTCATTCTTACTTTCACAACGAAAAACAAATCCAAGGGGAAAAAAGGTATATGCCTAACTGTTGAAGTGCAGACCAAGAGTGATATTAGTAAAATCAAATAACTTTTCTGAACCTCCAAAATAAAAATATGGAAAACTTGCAAAACCTGTCTGTTGATTTTCCTGTTTTCTATTTTGCTTTATCGAATTGCATATTCAAATTAAATGGAACTGTAAATCCAAACTTGTGGAGTTATGGTGATATTTTACTGAGTCTTCTGGCTTTTTGTATTTTAAGCCAGGGCAGTTAAAGAAAGAAAACTGGCTGGGACTTCCAAGCATTGTGAATGAGCCCCGTTCTTCATTTGCCAAAAATGTAAAACGCAAATGCAACATATACTTTAACTGTTCCTAGGAGATGCTGCAAATGGACCGAATTGACTTCAGGAGGAGGTGGCAGATTGTGGGAACAACATTGCAACCTTGACAGGTTATTGGAAATTCAAAATAGTACCTTTCTTGAAAAGTTTATTATAGCAGAAAGTATGTATTTATAAAAATGTTACCGTCTTTTAGGAAAGTTAGGGTGAATTGCCAAAGAACTCAACAGTGCTTTAGATCCAAACTTTATGGTATCAATTGTCTATAATGTAAATATAGAAAAGGTAAGTAGGGTACACACATAGTTTTTTAAGCAAACAATTTTTAAAAGCAGAATTCATAAAGCAGTTTACTAGGTGTTAGGTATTCCCCTCCTCTCAACCTGTCTTTAAGATAGCTTTATTTTATAAAGTCTTCATCTTTAATATAGCCATGGCTTTCTAGTCATATTCTTTTATAGTCTTAATTGAACTTACATTAATTTATAAAGTTAACAATTTTTCATAAAAACTTTTGCTTTATAAAAAAACTAAATAGTGATTGCAAATTCCCTAAGAAAGCTTACCAAAATAGTCAATACACACTCGTGAAAGGATATATTGCCAGTGTTTGGTTTTAAAATTCTTGGCATGGATTCACCTGAAGCATTAGCCCCAATTTCTATTTACCCAATGATGCTGGAGTCTTAGTCAATTTTCTAATACATACCTGCCTTCCTGCTTCGTTGTTGTGTAGATTCATGGCTAGGAGCACTTTGCTTTCTTGTCCTGTGGTGTTCCTGATGGGGAAATCTAGAAACTTTCTGCTGAACCACATGCCGTATTGGACGTCATCAGAGCATCCCCCCCAATGCCAGCCTTCACTTGGAGAGCCACCATTTTGCAAAGTGCTATCACAGGAACATTCCGTCATGTTTCCAGCACTGCATGACCTGGTTACCGAGTGCACCAGGCCTGCAGCCATAACGGCATAAATGAACGCGGTCTCCTTGGTGCCTAGGGAGGAAACATTGACAAATTGCAGAGCCGTCATTTTTCTGGCGAAATTCAGTCCTACAGCCTCTTACTCGTCGACTTACGGGGCAATCGATTTTTCAAGTGTTCGCAACGGATGTTGTCATGAGTGGACACTGGAAAGCAGATCTACTATTTTGGACTTTAAAAAAAAGCATTATTATTTTTCAGGATTCCACATCATGGGATGTCACGTGCCACGTTGTCACCCACTCTCCTCATATATCAAAATTCAGGCTCGTCTTTAAAATTTGCCGCCCTCACTAGCACCTACCCTAGTGTTTCGGGTGGACGGAGGTAACTCGTTAGTACATGTTGAAGGTAAATCCCCTGCACGGAGCATGGAAATGGCAACGGAAAAGGGAGCAGACGCCTTATCTTTTGTCTCTGTTGCTGTCTCAAAACACAAACGAAAGTTTCGGCGATCTGTTTCTTTGAATAGATATTATGCGTCAGAATGCAGGCTACAATGAACAAAAGTAAGACAACTGCTGGATGATTTGCTTTCTTTCACATTAAAGATGAGATTTTCAAAGGGGGAGAACATACTGAACATCGTTGATATCCAGTAGCTAACATGTTCTGCAGTAAAGCAGGCCTTCTAGTCATAAAACCAATGGAAAGAAGGTATTTGAAAACTCGGAAAAAGTCGAATTGTTGTGGAAAAGTATCCTGTTTTGAAGCAGTTACATTTTGCACTCAGTAGAGTTGGAGTTAAAATTCTTTGAAATCAAAGTTTCTTTAACACATTCATAAAACAGACTAGAAAGGACTCAGCGGGCGATTTTTTTTTCTTTCCAGATGTTTAGGTTGGAATAGAAACAGTTTCACTCACGCCCGTTGTCCAATAAACCTTTTCAGCAGCAAATGCTTCTGCATCTCAGCACTATTTAGGACACATCATTTTCCTCTTTCTTACATTTCTTTCTTTCTCTCCAGGCTTTTACCCTTCATTTCCAACCCCCAGGTAAGAGATCCATCCTCAGCCCTTGATAGCCAAAACTCAGAGCTGGGAAGGTGCGGCTCTGGGGAGGCGCATGCAGAAAGCATGAGGAAGAGTCAAAGACGCAGTACAAACGGAAACGAACTTTAAAAAACACGGCGAAGGCATCTTTGAATGCTTTGGGCCTAAAACTCTCTGACCCTGCTAATATCCTTGGAAGGATCTTGGGTGCGAGTACGGTTATCCTAGCTAAGTCACCATTCACGTGGAAGAACTTTTTTTTTTCACTGAACTTTGCCAGTACCGCGGAAAATGCACCCAGTTAGGGAGAGATGGAAGGAACAGAAAATCAGGGAAAGCAAAAGAAGTCGCGCCCAGGTGACATTTCCTTTAAAAATCACCATTGTACACTAAACCTAGTGTTTCCAGGACTCAATAAAACGTGCAGCTGTCTCTCAATTAGCCACTTGTCTACAGCTCCGAGAGCCACAGAGCTGCCTAAATCAAAGCAGATGCGCCTGCAGCATTCCCGGCTGCAGACCTCATGTTTGTCCAGCTGGTCACCCACGGAGCGGGGCGCCACGGGGTCCGAGGGGTCGATGGGGTGGGGACCCATAGTTTTTCTGCAACTTCGGCAGGGGCCACGGGAAGGACGGAGAACTGCCACCCCTCTAAATGTCCCTCTGTAGATATGGGGTGTCCCTCTCTGGGGCTGCACCTGCACGCTGGGGTCTGGCCCCTGTGCCCCAGTTTCCCTATTTGAAGATCTCGCGAGCACCGGACGGTGCAGTTACTATTTACTCTATCGAAGACGCTAGCAGAAAATTTGTCGCTTTCTATGTCCCGCCAACCCCAGGGGTCCCGGTGACTCACCGCTACTCAGCTCATAGCCAAAGAGGGGGCTGGTGGCAAGCGGGGCGGAGGTGGCGGTGGCAGTGGCGACCATACAGTTCCACCGCTCGTGTCGGAACTGGCTCCTGCACTCCTGAATGCCCAGCCGGGCGCCCTCTCGGATGCTAGGCAGCAGGTATGGTTTCCTCTTGCACAGCTCCTTCTGGCGGCTGTTCAGAGGCAAGCCAGCGCAGCCCAGCTTCTCCGGTACCCCAAAGGAGGCAATGCCCAGCCACCTGTAAGACAAGGCGCCCCTGCCGTAAGTCGCCCCCGCCCCCGCTCTCCTCTCCTACCCCAGATTCATTAGGTCAGCGATTCTAGGGTCCCCGCTCCTCCTCCCCTGGCCTCAGTTGGAAAGTTTCCTGGCATGGGTCATCCCTTTGGCCACCTACCCTTAACGCCTCCGCAGCGCCCATACTCACATCCAGTTGCCCTGGGTTCCACAGGGGAACAGGGAGAGCACAGCTGCCCACAGCGCGCACAAGCTGGGCAGGGCCAGGAGCGCCGCTCTGTCCATGGTCCACGCATGGAGTCCCCCAGCCCCGGCCACTCCTTTTCTGTTCCCTTTCTCCAGAGGCCCGCAGGGCTTGAGGTCAGTTCCTTAGCTCCCAGTTGTTCCTTGCTCTCTTTCCCCTGGAAGGTAACATTAAAAAGGGCAGCAAGGACAGAGACTAACAGCAGGCTCCCAGGCCCCAGCAGGATGTGGTGGAGAAAGTAGCCTAAGGTCCTCTCGCGCAGAGGTGGACGTGTGCTGGAGATGCCGGAGCGTCCCTCACATTCCAAGGTGAGAAACTTCTGCTGATGTTTCTGTGTCTCCATCGCCCCAGGCTTCTCCTCGCATCTCCTCCCCACCCCTCCCCGACCCCGCCTGGCGCCTGATTGGCCCAACAGCAGACCCGTATCTCACCGTCTGTAAACCTCAGTCTCTCATTGGCTAACAGTGGGCTCTGCGGGGGGCGCTCTTGGACTGAGCCTCGGTGACTGTCTGACTAGACCTGCGAGTGTCACGACCTTTCGTCCTGTCACGTTGTCCTTAGAGGAGGTCACTGTGAGACTGACTCAACCTGAAGAGCAAAAAAGTGATGGGCATTTCTGTCTTAGCATCCTTGGGTGAAAGTGTAGCTCCTTTATCCAATCCTGTCTGCATTTACCCTCTGAGTAAAAAGGATGAAGGCGCGCGAAAGGGGGTGGGGTGGGGCACCTAGTTCTTTTTTTCCTGTACGTCTCCCTGGAGAGTTATCTTTTTAAAGTTGGAGTTGGTACCTCCCCTCCCCGCAAAAAAAGTGAGTTTTCAACGCCCAGCTTGAGGTCCCTTTTGGCTGAGAGGAGAGGTGAGAAGCTGTCTGGGCTATGGCTCGTCATTTAGAAGTGCATTTACTTTAAGCATAGCATAAAATCTACCTACCGTGTTTTAATTGGGTTCTGTGAAGGCTTTTCCCACTTTTCCTATTTCTGTAACTTTTGAGAGCATGGTCTATCCTAAGGGGGGAAAACATGCGGACGAATGAGTGAGAGCAGACAAGAAAATTCCCAAATGGATGAGGGTTGTCCCTACCCTTCTCTTCTGACCACAGGAAGACCTTATACAGGGCTACTGCCACCGGCTGAAAACAGTAGCAACCATGACAAAATCCAGAAATACTGCATGCCGTACCAACTGCATGCTCAGCCCTATGGAAAGTTGTAGAACTAGGACGACTTTCCACAAGTGTAAAAACGAGCCAGGCAAGCAAATCTAAGGCCAAATAAATTCTGATTATCAGTAATGGAGATTATAGGTAAATGGTATTGGCAGCTAGCTTATGCTTTGGCCAAATGTGCTTAAAAAGTAGGAAGTGTTCTGGCAGCCAGTAGTTTTGGAAGGTTAGTTAGCCAGCGTTTTGTCTCCAAGATCTCTTTGAAGCCCGGACTCTGTCTTGCTGCAGTATCAAAGAGGCCTGCCGAGTCTGCTTCCACACACACCTGCTCCCAGGAGGACGTCTGGAATGTTAAGAAACTCTCCTGGTGGTATCACCTTGGCGGGGGCCCCAACTCAGCCCCATCCCGCAAAGCTTTGGAGGACATTTGCCAGTTATAATCCTAGGCATCACAGACGGTCAATCAAAGATCAGTCAAACTCCCGCCATTCCTTATCCGGCAACTATTTATTGCATGTACACTACGTACCAGGTCCTAAAACCACATTGTAATTTTTAGAAAGTCAAGTTGATGATAGGGTATGGTTACTGATCCAGAAATATTTTGGCTAATGGTTAGTGGCCTCTTTGAAAATCGGAGCCTTGATCCAAGCTCACTTTATCCTGTGAGCCTCTCCAAGAAGGGACCATGGTACATCGGCTGCTGCGGCACTGTCCAGAGCATCAGATCTTCTTTCGAAGCACAACTTATTGAGTGGATTAGTGTGATGAGGAACATCCCGAACAGATGCCTAAGTGGCCTAAAGGCTGGAAATAGAGACACGTCTTCCTTGTGATGGAAATGAGATTTGGGAGGAGGGCGTGGGGAGCATCCATCCCCTTAAGCTGATTTCTTTCTAGGGCCAACTGTGGTCAAGGTTTTAAAATGGCTGTTTAATTTTTCTTTTCATTCAGACATTCATTTACAGACTGTTGTGGGGTCAAATGGGAGACTAGCCGTGAGTCAGTCACGTGGTTGTAGAGCTCCTAAGTCACGTGACAAAACAGACACGTAAAACGACAATTCCAGTCTGAAGCGGTAAAGGTGGGAAGTACAGTATGCCATGAAAACACATGGAAGAGAATGCAGAGGTGTGGGTCAGAGGACTGCCGAAGGCTGCCTCCGTTTTTCCTCAAGGGATCCAGCACCATGCAGGAATCCTGTTGAAGCTTTGGGGTGAATACCAGAGTAAGCCATTCTGGGCGCCAGCTAGCGTCAGCCCACTAGCTCAAACATTTTCAGGTCCTAGACACAATTCTACAGTGCCTAGGGCCCGGGGAGGGGTGTGATTTGGTGTATACTTTCATAACAAAGTAGACATTCCCACTAGTTCAGCTGAAGGAGTCGGCATGACGCTCAGGCCTTGTGAATTTCCACAGGCTGAGAGCGTGTGTGCCTGTGTGCCCTCAGATTCTTTCGTTCTCTGTCTCTTCCTTCTTCTTTTCACTCCCGACCCCCAACTTGCGCCTGCACAGGTAGAGTGGGCTGTCAGGGGAAGACATTGTACGGGGATCAGTTCTCACACTCCACCACGTGGGCCATGGGAATCAAACTCAGGCCATCGGGTTTGGATTGGAGGCAACCGCCTTCACTCGTGAGCCCCCTCACAGGCTCTGTCTCTGTCTCTTTCTATCTTTCTGTCTCCCTCTTTGAAGGTTTACACAATTCTACCCTCCATGCACAATTTATGGTGATTTTACAGCTGGAGTTATAAGCTTGGGAAGATTCAGAGGTTTCCTGGAGATCCCTCTGTGAATAGCAGAGCCAAAGACCGATTTTATTTTAGACCTCCTCTCCCTCTGCCACATACGCTGCTGTATACCCTCATTCTAAGCTACATTCGCTTTTTTTTTTCTGACCATATCTCACGGTTGGTAAGTATTAGGGCATGCATTTCTTAGTGTGTCTCTGGGTTCTGTGCACAAAGTGCATTTAACTATTGTTTGTTTTCTGGCATAAACCAAGCATGTCATGGGGAAGTCTCCCACAAAGCTCTCTGGGAAGTGTATGTCTCTGAGGCAGGTGGCAGTTTGCAAGAGCAGGCTTCCATTTCCCTGCCTTTGTTGAACTGGGCATGGGTGGGGCACTGGGAAGACCAGTGGAAGGAACACTAACTAGCCTGGGCTAGCCAGTTGGTGCTGTAGGCAGAGGTGATCTGGGGAACACATACAAACTCCGATACTATTTTCTTACTTGTAAGATGATGAAGAGTGATGTATTTGTCAGATCTGAATATCTTACCAGAGCTCTCCTACCGAGAGAAAGAAAGCAGCCAGCTCAACAGGCCTGTCTCCCCCAGACGCGGTGGGGGCAAAAGCATCTTACAGCTTCACCGTCATGTCTGCTTCTGAATTTCAAGGAGATGCAGTATTTAGATCCAGAAATCTTTCTAAATAGTCACATTGTAATTTGTCAAAATCTAGTCAGATCAGATGAAATTTTATTGACAGAATAAAAGACATTATAGGAACTTTATCCTGGAAGATGAAATTGAGGAACTTATGATCTAATTTATTTCTCTTAAAATAGGATGACTTATCTCTACTCTTGCTAACAAATGTTAAATTTCTCTATTAAGACTAGAGGAATAACAGAAAAAATAGGTTAAATGTAACTATACATATATCTACAGATTTCAAATGTTTTATTTCTTTTGCAGAATGTTTTCATTTCTGTAATGTGGAGGGGAGACACCATCCCACTGGGCCAATGGGCCTGATGCTCATTACTGCAGGTTCTGCCTCTCTGAGGCTTTTCAGCTGAAGAGGGGTTGCCTGGGGTCAAACTGAGGCTCTTGCAGACGCTAGGCAGGCACTCTGCCGTGAAACCATGTTAGCAGTCCTAAATGTTTTAAATGTTCTTTATTTGCTTAAGAAGTGAGAACTATTATCACACCGCCTCCTAACCCAAACTTAGCCCCCCACGTTTGACCAGTGCTGTTAATGTGACTCCAAGTTTTCACAGGTGACTGAAGTAACTGTGGTTTCTTGATTCTGTAAGAAGGGCATTGTGGCCGGGCGGTGGTGGCGCACGCCTTTAATCCCAGCACTCGGGAGGCAGAGGCAGGTGGATCTCTGTGAGTTCGAGACCAGGCTGGTCTACAAGAGCTAGTTCCAGGACAGGCTCCAAAACCACAGAGAAACCCTGTCTCGAAAAACCAAAAAAAAAAAAAAAAAAAAAAAAAAAAAAAAAAAAAAAAGAAGGGCATTGTGTTCTTGAACATCTTTCCTAGCAGGGTGGGTGGGTTTTGAGCTGACCCTCTGAGAAGGAAGTTTAGGAGGGAAAAACGAGTTTTTAAGAGTTTTCATTCAATGTATTTATATACTTCCCCCTTCCCTTCTCGCTCTCTCTTTTTCCCGCCCCGTTCTCTTCTTCTCATCTGCATGGTCATCTCCATCCAGATTAACAATGGAACCAGATGACTATGTAGCTGCCGATCGATCCCGCCATCCACCCGAGACAGCTGTAGATTACTAGGTGTAGAACACAAATGGGGCCTGTTCCTTCTGGTAGTTTTCTCCCAGTCCCTGGGAACTCAGTAAAAAGTCTGCTTACAGAGATATGCCTTGGGCTCTGCCTCTGGCAACCCATCAGAGAACGAGACTTCTAAGGGCTCTGTTGTAAGAATTTCTGCTGCAGATCACAGAGACTTAGGCCCTGGAAACTGATACTAAGAGCAACCCAGCTGGTCTTAACTCCCACGACAGAACAGGAGGCCAGAGGTGACTTTTTATATAACTGGGTCTCCATGCATTCTATTTTAAAATTCACCTGGATTCTGCAAGTGTGGAGCAGGGCACCGGGCACAGGGAGCTGGCTCCCGGGTGGGGGTGGAGAATTGTATTCTGGATGCCCTGCTGGCCTTTGGTGGCCAGAAAAGCTTATAGGAAGGATAGACCCAGGATAAGAGGAGACATCAGTGGTCACCTTGGGAGAAAGAGCAGGGTCTGGAAAAGGATGGGATCTTTCTCTTTAAATCTCGACAACGATAAAAGTTTAGCTGTTTATTTACTGGTCTTGTGGCTAAAGGTTGAAGGAGGATCACATGCTGTTAATAGAAAGTGTCAATCATCTCTTGAACCAAGAAATGATTGACATCTACTACCATCTTGCTTCAAACACAATAT